CAACTTAGCAAAAACTGGTAATGCTAGGTTCAAAACAAAATACAATTTTTTTTTAGCTTGAAATGCAGCAGAAGGAAAAATTCCGAGTTATTCCTGATTTTCAAAAATGACTCATTACACAGCTGACAGAAGTCAAAACGGCAATCTAGAAAAAGAAAAGAGATGACGGCGGGGAGAGAAAATAAAGAAGAAACTAATAATTTAAGAAACGAAGGCTTAAAGATAAAAGAAATCTCATTCTTTAACGGAGTAAGAAGGCAATTTCTAAGCCGGTGAGCAAAAGGGGATATTGTTTTAAAAATTAATGGGTTTTGGAAGTTAATAACCCAGAAATAAAATTCTCAGCGGAGAAGAAGGCTAAAACACCATTAATTTAGCGCAAGATAAACAGAAAAAAAAATACTCAATTTGACAGTTATAAATGTCGTTGTTTTAAATGCTCGCCACAAAACAAATACAATCTGGCGCAGTTGCTTTTTTGATAATTTTTGGCACGGCTTACGTTTTGTGGAAGTCTTTAAAATTTTTCTAAGCAAGCATTTATATTATGATTTATTACTATTGCTTGAGGGCAATTTTACGCACTCATAGAAAGTTCAGTAATGGTCATACGTACTGAAAAGTGCTTTTATTATTAAGTTTCTCTCTAAACAGAACAAAACATGGCCTCCTCTCTCCAAATTTAAGCTAGTAAGTAGACAGTAAGTATACTAGTTACAACAATAGTTCCTTAAAGTTACTAATATTTGTTAGAGGCATTTTATTTATAATTATCGGGTGTTGCATATGAAATAGCTTTTAAATGACATCAGGATTCTACAGGTTGCGGAAGAAAGTAAGCACTGAGGTTTATTCCCATTCTTTATATCATGCGATAATGTCACGAGTGGGGTCAAGCAACTGTAATTCTTGTTTCCTTCAATGAGCATTAAATATAGAATATTTTTAACACGAATTCAGTCATGGATTCTAACCCATTAATTTTCTTATACTTTTCAAGTTCGGAATGGAAAATTCTTCAGCGGCACCAGTAAAAAATTATCGTTAAAGTTTCGATAAAAGAGCAATTAATAAGAGATATGCTCGTTGTGTTGGTTTGCAAAATTTTACTCTGGAGATCGGAGGCTACAAAACGAACTCCATAACCATCATTCTTCCTCCACTGATTAGAATGGATTAAAGGATTAAATTAAATCAGATTCCCAATAAACAACTTTACAAGACATGACACTCAATGGACACTTCTTCAACTTTTCACGGTTATTGGCAATAATAAGGAAAGTAAGGAAGAACAACAAGTGGATCCTTCACGAACTCGTTGATGAAACAAAACACGGCGTTTAAAAGTGCACTCTTTTTTCTTAAATAAAGAACGATTCCTGCAACTTATTATGACTACAGATGTAAAGCGGGTATTCTAGGACAATAATACTCGTCTGTTGCAGTCGAAGAAAAAGACGTGTCAGGAGAAGACTTCGAAATTATCTTTGCTTCCAAAGAAGACGTTTATTGTACAATGGCTTCTCTTGGTGTTACTTATTCCACAAGCTCCAATAAATGTAGCTCGATACTAAACATATCTGCGGCAAACCGCAGGACAAACTTTGCCTTAATCAATCAGCACTATGAATATGACTGTTCGATTTTGCACATGTTTCGTATCACTGCGAGCAGCACCGTATTTTGAATAAAAAATTATTTTTTATTGCGCTACCAATGGTAATTAGTTAAAAATAAAAACTTTACTTCTAAATTTGTGTGTGTTATTTAATAAATCTGTGCAGTTGTGTCAGGATAAAGCCCAAAGACATATGACAGAATCAACTATATAGCAAATGTAAAACTGGACGCGAAATTTCGGCTTACTCTCTATACTTTCTTGATATTTTCCGAACAGATTATTCTCCGATAATTGAGCCATTTTTTATCCATTAAATGCTTTGCCAACAACGAAATTTAAAGGGCAGCAGAGAACTTTGTTTAACTTCTAGAGGGACTGATATTTACAAAGATGTTATAAACGTTCTTCTCAGCGGACTATGCTCCTGGCAATTACTTTGATTAGATTCCTTTCTTTTATTTTCTTGTTTTTCAATCGTCATTAAAATAAGCATTTCGATACAATATTTACAATATTTTTCATCTATTATTTTACTACGGCATGATACAAAGAATTTATTTAAAAAAGAAAAGATGAAGAATTTCTCTTCCTGAACTTCAAAAGAGACGACATTAGAAAGAATTTGAAGGACATAAGTTTTAACTGCGTGGGTCTTCTTACAAGCAGAATATTTTTTCCAGCAAATATCCTGGCACCGCTTTTAAAGATTTGCGGTAAGCGACAGGACGCAAAGTGCATAGTATAGAAATTCTAGAATATTTTAAAATGTTCACTATAAACGTATTACTTGCAGACATAATCATAAACACAAACCATCTATATCTATAAATAGTTAAAAACTACAAGGCTGAGAATTGTACAACATATACTTCAAACTGCAGAGATTAGGGCTAAAAGACTGCTTTAGCAAACTTTTCCATGTATATTTTTGTTGTATATGTATTCTATGTGGATTTTATCCTAACATGGAGCTATTATCTAGATGCTGACACGTTTCACAGTATCTTTTAGTTGTAGTGTGCAGTACGCATGTATGGATTTTTATAGTTTTCTTGTATAGATTAGTTTCCGTTCTAGTAATTTTAGGCAGGTAAAATTAAAAACTACGTCTGAAAACGTACTACGTACGTTTGAGAAACGTTTGAGAAAACGTACGTTTGAGAAACGTACTACGTACGTACTCAAAACGTTCTACATACTTAGTCTCAAAACGAAGATCAAATTCTGTCGGCTTAAAGTTATTTTTACACAGGGTGAATAAAGAATGAAGCTTTTACACGCCAGAAAACTATTCTCTTTACCGCTTCCTAAATCATACTTCCATTTTAATTCCTAAATTCCGCTAAATTCCCTTCTCCTCTCCTTCCGCGAAAATAATAATGCATATAAAGAATTTTGAAATGTGCAATATATGAAGTTTCATAATCTTATGGTACGCAGTTTAATAAAGATACTAAATCTACTAACGCTTATTCCAAAATACAATTGCATTAAATAGTTCGATTGAGTTCAAGAAAGTGTTACAAGCGTCTTTGCATCTTCAACAAGTGACATTCTTCAGAGATTTCGCCACCTATACAACAGAGGAAACAGTTTAAACACAAAATGCTCTCCACTGAATATATATTAAGGAGATTAATAATATGTGGGCTGCCATTTGCATATAAAAATTATTAGAAACAATTTAATATAAGTACGCATCTATTTTAAAATGATTGCCTTATGCTATTTATATAAAAGTATAAATGAATTCTTTTCCAGGAGAAGAATGCATGGAATTCTTAATCCTTGTTTGCCAGAATCACAAACAACCGCCTGGACAAAATTTCAAGCAGCATGGGAACAGGATAGAAATACATTTGGCTCACCCTCACAAAGCTGGTGGCAGATAATGATCGAAATTTTGACTTTGCTGGGAAAGTTGGAATTCCGCTAGCGTCTAAATGATATGCAAATTAGGGAGGGAGAACATTCATAAATACTAGTCTCCCACTCAGAGAGCTTTGTTGCTGAGGGTTTTGGACCATTTCCAGCGAATACGGACAATACTACTACGACGGAAAAGGAAACGAGTTGAGACGTTCGTATCCTGTTCTCAGAAAAAGTTGAAAAAATTACGGTAGTGTGCAAGTTATTCAAATCGTATTTTGTATTTCGTTTCTAAGTAGGTTAATTGCAAATCATGATACTGATCTTTTCAACGCATTTTCATGAAATATTTAAGAAGCAATGGCACACGCAAGGTGCCACACGATCTCACATTAAACTAGGAAACTGACATAAATTTTCACGATAGTCGATGATTTAAACTTTCTTTGACTCCTCTTCTCCAAAAAGAAGGGAGCAGCTTGCTTTCTTTACGATGTGTCTCATGTAGAACGATAATCCTCAGTTCATTTTGGCAATGGATTCAATAGAAGCTGTAGTGAAAGAAAGCTGAAATTCGGAAATTATTATAAATAAACAAAGTAAATGAGAAAGTTTCTCTTCTACTAACAACTGTACCTCAGCCGTTTAAATTCCATGCAAACTTTAAACAAATATAGAAATTCTGCATTTCCTACCTATTTCGGCGTCTTTAAGAGAGTTTAGGTACTTTGTAGATTCATGAGCAGCAGTACAAAACTGAAGATAATAAATAAGATTGCAATTTGGGATACTCATCAATCGTAAATCCATTAAATAAGACTCATTCATTTCTATAATTCAAATTTAAATAAAATACATTTTATTACCTACACACAACCGCAGGATATTAAATTCATGTTTTCACATATATAAAAAATATCTGATGTGGAAACCACATGACTTCCTTGTATGGCCTATTAAATTATACCCACTTTTTACTGCATTTCATTTACACTCATTTCCTCGAATTTCATTACACATATATTTCTCATTTAATAAATTCGGTTCTCACTTCGTGGCAAGGTAAAAAGACTTAAAAACTCAAAACATCTTCATTAAGAATTGAAAAATATAGAAAAACATAAAACATCAAATACAGTTAAAAATAAATTTTTACAATTAAAATTAGAGTTCCTTCGCAAAAACAAGCAATTCAGATAGCAGGCAAGAAGACAGATTTTTCGGTGCACAAAACTGAAAGTTTACTTTTGGCCCCACTCGGCGGAAAGACGCTGAAGACGCAAAAACTGACTTAATTCACTATTCTACTAAGAGTTTTAAATGTAAATAAGTGGCGGCCTCGTTAGACTTAAACTTTTAAATTGTCGATAACTCTACAACTATTGCATGCATATTAACTAAAGACATAAAAACCTTAACTGGAACATAAGAAAAGCATAACTTAATTACTTTTAAAGAAAAAAATGCATAGTTTACCAACATATAAGAATAAAAAAAAAGCTGAGCTTACCGAGCCAGGTAACAGAGTAGGTGTATATATGTAATAATAACAAAGAAAAGATGGAGCAGCGTCGATGCGTAATAAATACATAGGATAAATCGTTGATCCATATTGAAGAGGAAGAACCCTGATTGCGCAGCATGCTAATGTGTTGACTTCGTAAGATCTAAAAAACTTGGCAGTCGAGACTGTTTTAATTCCATTTTTATTTGCAACTGATATTTGTAGCCACAGTTCGCTTGACACTGTGGTCGTGCCTATTCAAGAACATTTACATTTTTTATATTATTTCAATAGGAAGCGAGCCCAGCGAAATTGCGCACAAGCACTGCAGAGACAGAAGCTAAAGTGCGTAGTTAGTGGAAGCACACGAAGAGAAAAGTTTTGGTTTAAGTTTCAGTTCCCGATTATTACGTCATCACCACTGCGCAGGCCATGAATAATGGAATAATCTAGAAATGACGCAATGCACAGAAGTTATTATGATTTTTAAAACAGAGAGGGAGAACTAAAGGGTTACCCGTTAATTTAAATTATAATTTTGGTTTATATATTTTTTATCTTAATTGAAACAGAAATTGTAAAGCTAACAAGTAATGAGACGTAAGACCTATTTGGTCTTAAAAATTTTTTTGCGCATAATGCTGCAAAAATATATGAAAGAATAGTAGGTAGAAACATTGCAGCGATCTTGTAAAAAGTTACCAGGAGCTGTAGCTCTACGAAATAGTTCAACGCTGTATTACTAAAATATTAACAAAGAAGAAGTTAAAAAAATATTAATCTGGAAAAAACTGGAAAAAAACTGCTTACACGCGAAAAAAACTGTTAAAAATCAATGTTGGAAGACATGCGAATGCACGAAAAAACTAATCTGACCGTCGTGATATGTGAAAAGTTAATACACATAAAAACATTTTTTATCTTAATTATATATATGCGCTTGGTGCGGCCGATTGCAAGTAAAAAGAGAGGTGCACAACTACATGTTATAGCTGTCCCATATACGTCACATATACATGGGTACAGACGTCAAGAAAAAGAATCTCTTCTGAATCCATTTCACAATATCATTTTGGAACAAAAGATTCCTTTATTTTGCCCCTACGTACAGATGTTATGCTAAAACATCTTCCAAATGTATTCGAGAGCAGTCAAAATATGATATCCAAAATTTTCGTGATTACAATCCTTTACTGTACAAGGAAGTAAAAAGATTTGAAAAACTATTTGTTTAATGAGAAATTAAAGCTTCACCTATTGTAATAACTGACGATTAAATACAATCCGTTTTGATGCTAACAAAGAAACGGTAGTTGTAAACTGCATATAAATGAATAAATAAATTCACTAAAAAATAAAAAAATTATTTTAGCTTTCATAATAATCTTCGTATATGCGACTAAAAATGAAATCAGGAAGCCGCTAACAATGGCGAATTTTAAATGAAAATTATTCAACAAACTGACGGGAATGGAATGTTATCATTCTCACGTGTCTCAATTATCAATTCTGAATTCTTCAATTATCAATTCTTCAATTCCCAGAAATTCGATTAATATCGGAATACAATTCATATGCGGAAATCACATGATTTTATACTACTAAGAACATTACAATAACTGAAAATAATTTTTAATGCATTTAACTAAAGAAGTTTTTTTTATATATTTTATATTACGCAATTCGAAGAAAGCGGTGCCATTTACACGAGAAGAACACGCAGTGGGAAAGACGAAGATTACTAATAACTAAATATTTTGATGTGAGGACTAAAACTATGGGCAGAACATAAATTTGAAATTTTATTGCGTCATTTATATTATGTTTCTATTTTGAGAAAAACACATACAAGAATAATCGAATTTTTAAATTGTTTAAAGACACATTTTTGTCTCGAAAATTCGCTTGGGAAAAAAGTTGTAATTTTACAATAAATGACTTAGCTTTTTTTCACTGCTATTGCACATGATACTGAAATGCTTAGGAGTAAATCTTATTAGTAAGTTTGTTATCTCTAGCCTGACTGAAATGAAACTATCTTTATATCTCTAGCCTGACTGAAATGAAACTATCTTTATTTCGTTTATTAAGAATATCTCTAATTAACTTCAAGAACCAAACTTTCAAATCAAAAGCTGCTACTTTTCTCAATTTATACAAACAATACAAATATACACACCCAACACATGAAAAACAAAATTCTTCACGTAACAAAGAACCAGTGGCGAAAAGAATGGATTTTCTACTTTGGTTCGTATTCTGGCTAACAGGCTGGCTACAAGGATCAGTTCGTTTGTCCCATCTATAATATAAATACCAGCCAATTCCCTCGGCAGATTCTTTCATGAAAGGCAACTCTCACCATAGACAGATGCCCTCGAATGTTTCACCGTAATACAGCGAATTAAATAAAACCTTTTTTCTAGCATTTAATAGGCTTTTTTGGAGGGAGGGAGAGTGAAATAAAATTTTTATTATATCCTTTAGCGACAACTCTATTAATGAACCGAAACATTTCGCGTTAATTCAAAATCAAAGTTACTAATCACAGAAACATTTTAAAGCATAATTAGTCAATGGGATGATAAGGTGAACTCTCGTGGATAAGTGATTATACTCATCTTTAGTATTTGTTCCATGATAAGGGACAAAATCGCCTTTCAAATCTGTCTTTCTTATGCACTTTAGTATGTCGTAAGATTCACTTTATCGTAAAGTACGATTTCACGACTAAAGGAATCAGTAAAGAAAGAATCAAAAAGCATTAACTTATTATTTTTCAATATCTAGTTTTAATGTCAACGAAGAGAACAGTTCATCTCATCAGGACAAGCCGCCTGTCTATAAACAAATGAATGGCCATTACACAGTCGTGAGAAGTTTCAGGATCACTTCGCGAAGAATTCTAAGGCTTGCGGAATAAATTCTACTGCATATCTCTGGGATGTTATTGCGCAGAACATCAGTTCCATGAATATGAGCCCATTATTAGGAACAGCTGTGGGTAATTTTGCACCAGGCCGTGCCTCGTAATTATGCTGGTAACCCTTCAGGGTATCATTCGAGGGAAAGACAAACCGATATACTATTTAGGAGATATTTTTAATAATCTGGTTATTTAATATACTGCTTAGAATCAGATCATAACTACTACAACTAATTAGGTCCAATCAGGAACTGAGCTTGTCTTCATCGGATGACATATTATTGGTTTAAGTAAGTTCCACTACCAAATAGACTACATCCCTCTTGCAAAACAACAGTCTTTCCTGAACGACTAGAGTTACGCGAGTAAAAATGAAATTAATTTACCAAAGAAAAAAAAGGCAGCGAAAGATTTATATATGATCAAGTTAAATTTCACACCTTTAATTAGATGCAAATAAACTGGAAACAGCTTTATATCCAATAAACGGAATACTAAAACAAATAAATCTAGATTACTACAAACCATAAAGGACAGTGACTGCTTTTTCGCTTCTGAGAACTCATCTGATTCAACTCTTCTCAAGAAAAATCAACTGATTCAAGTCTCCAATTACAGTATGAAAAGAGCTGCATCAGAATGTCATTTAAATCAGCATCTATGCTCATAGTTCAAATAGTTTCAGTAATGACGATGTTAAAAACAAAATATTGGTTTATAAATTATTTTACAAAGTAAAAGTGTCTGAAACAACCACAGCTGTTTACAAAATAAACGCGCTTTACACAATCACACACATAACATTTAGCACTTCCTGTGTTCCAGGATTGACTAAGCATCCGAGAAAATTATGACGGATGCATAACTAATTAAAGCAGATTAATTATTTTGCATGCCTTTATAAGGTTTTTTTCAGAGGTTTCTATTAGGAGGGTCATTCATTACCAGTTTTCTGGAATAGCAATAATCATCTTAACAATACAGAAGCTTGTTCAACAGCGTTATGGAAATAATATTATATAAGACTGTAAAAACGACTTCATTTTAAATACTCACTTTTACTGAGGTTATTTCAGTCATAACTCTTCCGCTCCAAAACTTGCAGATTTTATTTTCTAAGGTACTTAAATGCGACGTACATACATGTATTAATGTCTTTGGGAGACAGTTCTGGTCTATGGCTGGGAATACACAATCTGAGAAGTTGATAATTTTCTCTCACCCTTGGGAAAGAGTCTTAAGTTCTCATCTTTTGAATTTTGATTAAATTGTTTTAGCTAAAGAGTTCTCTTTAAATTACTTTTTCAGTTTTGGCTTCCGCAAGAAGTATTTACTAATTTCTAAATTTTCTAATGTAAATTACAAACTAGTATTATCCGAATAAACATTTCATTTCACTATAAAGTTATATTACATACATTAAATTATATTATATATATATATATATTAAGTTATATTATATATTTATCTATTATTATATTATATCAGTATTCATTACTAAGTGTTTATTTTACTAATAAAAGTGAACATATTATAGGAGAAGATGAAAACTGCTCAGGAATCTACAAGATGAAAGTCTTAGTAAAACTAAACGGTTAACTGGAATTCTATCAGATTGTAGAGACATTAGGTTATTTCAGAGCACGAGAGATGAAAACTGAGCAATGCCCTCGCCGGGACTCGGACCACGGATCTCTCGAATTCGCGTCGAGCACCTTACATACTCTACATTCAAAATTTGCTCTTAGAAAATAACAAAATTTTAATTTTGAAAAGAAATACCACTGATTGTGAATTCATACTGACATCCTTTTGCAAAGAAATTCCTTACAAAAATTTTAATTAAATTAAATATATAATAAATTATGTGTCAAGCTTAGAATAGTAATATTACGAAAAAAATGAAACAGATGTCCAAAATGTGTAACAAAAAAAGTCCTAAGCACCCGTTTAGAATAAAACAGAAATAGTCGACAGCCATGTTGCTAGTTCACTGGAATGAATCCTGTTTAGAAAACTTTACCTTAGACTGAAAATAAAACTCTTCTAAAACTCTTCTGAAGATATTAAACACGACAAGTACTCTTCTACGGATTTTAGAATGAAAATGCATCGAGTAAAAGCTCTTAAAGCCTTCTTTCATTATAAAATGGGACTTGATAATACACAGTTTACGGACAAAATTTAAATTACACAGAGCAACAAAGTTAAAAATTCAAACACCCCACGCATAGGATGGCTAGTCATTTATAATATTATATATATGTGTAGGTGTATATATAAAATTCAGGGCCTCCCAAGCGAAAATTATTATGCTCTTTATAGAAAAACTTTGATTTCAAATATTTGCATAAAGTTT